GTTCAGCAATATTTACAACATTTTTGCTTCTAATACCAGCAAGCTGTCTGTTGGCCCAGACCTTATATAAAAGTCATTGACTTACTGCTACTACTACTCCTATAGAGATCTCCAAGCGCAATCTCACGAACACTTAAGTCCAACGTTCATATATAAAAATGAAGAAGAAGAAGAACCAAAAAGGTATCACGATATCACAACTACTTAAAAAGGTAGCGCGCGGTCTCACGCACACTTTTGTGCATCTGGAGAACTCTATAGGAGGACTGAAAGCAATGAGCTTTATTACCGAGGTGAAGTAATCGGTTAAGTTGTGTGAGTAAAACCCGTGTACGATACAAGCAATTAGTGACGTCGCTACTTGCGTTTACGTTGATTTTTTGGTTTACTAATACAACCATATTTCATGATCTGCTTCACCTCTCTCTGTACCTCATTGGACTGAAAGAACAAAAGAGCCGGCAAGTTACTATATCAAGAGTAAATTTTCATTGCGTCGAATGTAACAAAGGTAAACAAAGTCGAGCTATCTGCTAGGCTATCAGTGTCAATCGATGCTCCTGCTATTACACTATATACTGTCCGAATATAGGATCACATCCCATTTTTTAATTTATTTACCAGTCGAATTGCTTTTTGACGTAATCACCTTCCGATCAAAATAGTTTTCGATGTTACTTAAGTCACCCAATTTCTATGGAGATGCCGTTTGACATAAGTAACAGCGCTGAGAAACCCGTGAAAAGTGTACGTTCGTCGTTTCGCTTTCTCATTATTAAAGTGAATAAATCGAACTGTTTGTTGCTAAGATGATTTCGGTGGTCCTAAAATGATGAATGGGCTGCACGTAAGGAGACGTAATTGATAGTTCTACCGAATATCTTGGTAAATACACTTTGACTTAAGTAACAATAGGGGCCACCAAACGACGTATAATAACTTTTGACTCAAAAACCAGTATTTTTTATCATGGAAGCTAGAGATTTGCATTTGTATGATTAAAACCCTGCTAAATATGTTAAACATTGCTATCACTATGAGATTATATGTGTTTACTTGGAAATAGGAATAACTTTTCGGTCATCAAAACAAAACTTTATTTTTCTCGGATTGGTGCGAATGTTACTTACGACATAATGAAAATTTGCTCTTGAAATCGTAAACAATGGGGTCATCCGTCGTGAATGGAACGATTTCTTTCTACGACGAAATGCATTATCATTTCGCTTTTTCTGGACGACGGTTTTTACGCATAAAAGTGAAAGAAGGAAGATGTTTTGCTTTTTAACACAAACGCACACGGCCATGAGAAATCAATGAGTTGCAAAGAGAGGTGAAGCAGATCGTGAAATATTGTTGTTTAGTAAACCAAAAAATCAACGTAAACGCAAGTAGTGACGTCACTAATTGCTTGTATCGTACAGGGGTTTTACTCACACAACTTAACCGATTGCTTCACCTCGGTAATCCAGCTCATTGATGAGAAATGCCATTGGAGTAAAGAGAGTTTTCCTGCCATTCCTTCGACAACCCAAGATATGTTCAAATCCTACAGGTAAAGCGATCTGCATGTGTATTAAATATAGTTTTGAGAATTCAGGATGAATGAAACATTGGATATTTTTTAATTAGGGGAAATGTCGGCTTCGGCACTTCTTTCCCTTTTATCGCCAGGAGAGTAAATTAAGTATTAGAGCACAGACTTAGAGTGTTTATTTTTTGCAGAACAATGTATTGGAACATGATGCAAATAAATACCCGCTGTTGATAATAGGTAAAGAAGTGATGAATCCAACATTTCCCCTATTTTCTATCGTTAAGCCATAGACAAACAGACATAACACATTGAATATTTCTCACTGTATAACATCGTCACTAAAACATTACCGCCATCTGTTGAGTATACTGTGGTGGGTAGTACGCTGAACAGATGGCGGTAGTGTGTAAACGTCAAACGCAAGGGAATTGACTATGCGCGCCACAGGTGGCGGTACTACCAACTAAGATACTTTCAAATTGACCGTTAAATGCTTGTTCGATGAACAACTTGCGAGTGTTATGTCTGTTTGTCTGTGGTTAAGCTTTGAATATGTTTTATTCCAAATGTGTTTTTGAATATCAAAGTGTATGGAATTATGATAATCGTACTAGAATTTGTAGAAAAATCATAAATACAGCTTTTCTTTGATGTGATCGTCTCACTCCACAATTAGCATTTTATTTACCCTTTGCTTTTGCAGGAAGCATTGATGAAATCTGTGAATAAGATGTTTTCTACAGACACTCTATACATAAGCACTAGGGTGCTTCATTCTGAAAAAAGTGATGAATTTCTGATGGGCCACCCTCCAGTTCGATTCATAGCCCCAAAATATGAACCTGTGCAAAAATTGGTAAAGATTGATGAAGGTTTAGAGGTCGCGCCAATGATTTGAAATTTGTATGGGAATTACTATGGAAGAATTTAAAAAATCGCTTATATCGCTATAACTTTGCTTCTACTTGTCCAAATGTCGAAAAAATTTAGTATGTTATTGCTATGGCAATAAACAAAAAGCCTACAGTTGCTACGCTCAGTTTTGCAGCGTATCAAGAATTATAAAAATGTGAAAAAATGGCAAAATAGGGTAAATTGACAGATGAATATGTACAAGGCAACAACGCCAATTTCATCGCAACAACAACAGGCTTGTTGATCATTGTCATGACAACCACATATTTTTTTTTTTCAACGTTTGGACAACTACAACCAAAGTTAGAGCAATGTAAACGAAAATCAATAATTTCCCATACTAATTCACCAAAATCTCCATACAAAATCCAAATCATTGGCGCGACCTCTAAACCTTCATCAATCTTTACCATTTTTTGCACAGGTTCATATTTTGGGGCTATGAATCGAACTGGAGGGTGGCCTATCAAAAATTCATCACTTTTTTCAAAATGAAACACCCTAATAAGCACCAACAGAAGTGTACATACCTTTCAATATATGAATCTTGGGTATGTTTATACCAGTAAAGCTGATATAAATGGTAAAAGGTGGTATAAGTGTAAATAAATTTTGAGTGTAAAAAGCGTTCTCTCCACCGCTAGGTGTCACTACCAATTAAAATTTAAAAGCCTTCGTTTCTGATTCCCATGTTACCTATCTGTTCTGTGGTATGATTGTACTTGCCACACTATTATACTAATGCAAAAATGGTACGGGCATCGAAAGCTCTCAATTAATAACTTTGGAAGTGCATCTAGAACACTAAGTTGAGAGCACGCAATAAGCTAATATGCCATATGCAATAAGCTTGAAATGCGAGGAAGAAGAAGAAGAAGAAATGGTAACTACTGAGCTACCGAGCCTCGTCAATTACGTCATATGTATATTAATGGATATTTACAAGACAATATCGTATCTCATGTATTTGTTTCCAATAAATAAATAAAATAAATAAATCAGTTGTGCATATTAGACCTGTTCATTTTAAACGAAATGTTCGGAATGTAACGGGTCAACCGTGATTACTGTTCGTCATGTTAATTTGAACTTTTGTGCAAATTTTCAGCAAAATCGGTGTTGATTTAGAGGTGCTTCTAGTTAATTTTATGTTTTCAAGGTAATTTACGGCTTATAATATTTGTATCTCGAGACTGAAACAACGAAAGCTGCTGTAACAACTTTCATAGCAAAGCTTAATGTGTTATCTACCAACTTTGTGGCCAAAGGTTGACTATTCGAAGTGATTTTATTGAATTTTCACTTAGTTTCATGCTCGAAGATATCTTAAAATGTGAAGAATTTTAAAGTATTTGTTCTACGAATTTTCCACCCATATGATATAAAAATGTGTAGTGTACGGCATAATGTTCCTCATATTGTTCTAGAAGTTTCGTTCCAACATAGTTTTCGTGTATATTTCATAGATTGAGAGATAAAAATCAGAAAAGAGGCCGTTTAGCTAAAATTCACAAGACAACAGAACCAATAAAAGTCAATTAGATTGACAGAACATAGTTGCATTGCTTTTCAATGACGACCGATGACTGTTTCATTGATATATGATTTTTTCATAAATATGAATCCTCAGTAGACGTGTTTTTTATCAAAGGCAAGTGTCACTCGAGTCATTCAAATGTTCGTTATTTTATAAATTGCTGTTATGGTTCGAGTGACACTTGCCTTTGATAAAAAAACACGTCTACTGAGGATTCATATTTATGAAAAAATCATATATCAATGAAACAGTCATCGGTCGTCATTGAAAAGCAATGCAACTATGTTCTGTCAATCTAATTGACTTTTATTGGTTCTGTTGTCTTGTGAATTTTAGCTAAACGGCCTCTTTTCTGATTTTTATCTCTCAATCTATGAAATATACACGAAAACTATGTTGGAACGAAACTTCTAGAACAATATGAGGAACATTATGCCGTACACTACACATTTTTATATCATATGGGTGGAAAATTCGTAGAACAAATACTTTAAAATTCTTCACATCTTCGAGCATGAAACTAAGTGAAAATTCAATAAAATCACTTCGAATAGTCAACCTTTGGCCACAAAGTTGGTAGATAACACATTAAGCTTTGCTATGAAAGTTGTTACAGCAGCTTTCGTTGTTTCAGTCTCGAGATACAAATATTATAAGCCGTAAATTACCTTGAAAACATAAAATTAACTAGAAGCACCTCTAAATCAACACCGATTTTGCTGAAAATTTGCACAAAAGTTCAAATTAACATGACGAACAGTAATCACGGTTGACCCGTTACATTCCGAACATTTCGTTTAAAATGAACAGGTCTAGTGCATATGGTATGTAATTTACCCCTAAAAGTTTTTGGTCATGGGGGAAAAAATACTATTGGCCAATATAGGATCTTTAACCCAACATATCTCATCGGAATACGCCCTTTCAACAAGAGAAACAGATACGTAACATAAAACCAGAAAATGAGAGATAGAGAGAGTGAAATCATAATTGGCGTTGACGGCGACTCTGTAGCTCTTTACTCCTATGAGAAAATCCATAAGCAAACGTCAGACTGTGCGTGAAACATGGCGGACTTCGTACTATCCTTTCACTCCATCGAAAATTCCCATAAGAAACTGTCTACATTTGCTGGAAGAGCAAATTTTTCGACAGTGCCGTCAACGCCAATAGTGAAGCGTCATTTATTTAGAATCAGAGTGCCACATACATCAATCGCCACCTGTGAGTGATATCAGTGTTTATTATTTACTTTTCTATTTAAGTTGATTCACTTCAGTTGTAAGCGTGATTATTGTGTTTTGTACATTCATATGAATACGAAAGGATTATAATTTTACTGCCCAAATCGGAACAAATCGAGCACTACTAGTTTGTACCAATCTTCATACCATTTTGTGGATATTTTTGACAGCTGACATATTTCATGAACCGTGAAGTTTAAGAGAAATAAATGCAGGGTAAATAATTTGATGCTTAATCATCAGAATAAATTACAAAAATACAGAAGGCAGCTGTGTACGGGAGTAAACAAACATATGTTTTTTTATGAACGAGTGATAGTCGGAATGCTTATGTTTTGTTCTCATTTTATGCTACTCTCTTTTGGGACAGAACACAAATTATTGAATCTGATGCTGAAAATCGAATACGAATACGTCAATGTTGATTGATGATTTATCGTTAGCAGGCTTTCACCGTCAACCCTTCATACTGATTTATTTTTTAAAGTGCATGGCGATTTTATATTGCAAAAAACCTTGTCATAAGTCAAACTTTTTATTGTTGGGTGAGTTGTTTTTAAAATTAAGCATGTTCTTACACATAACTGGATATCCTAGATCAAAGATAAAAGGTGCAATCGAAAACAATGACTTACAAAATACACTGAACGTTCGGTAACTGAAAACTGAAACATGTTAACGTTTCACTGAGCGAGCGGCATTTGCTCTTAAACTTAATATTGTTCCAGGACATAGATGAAATACATTGGAGCTCAAAATCTTTCACGGAACTAACGTTCAGTGTATCTCCAAGAACCAACGATTCTATAGGATAGCATATCTTCTGCTACGCGTAAGGTGACTGCAGGTTATTTTGGCAATCTTGAAGATGTTAAGGTGATGCGATGCGTCACGCTTTTTTTTGCTTTTTTCTCTCTCCTTTCTATGTGCCAGTGAATTGATTATCATTGATGCTGTAGTGGTGTGAGTGTACATAATGCACTACCGCAACTACCGTAAACATAGCTGCTAGAATTCGTTATTATTAGGTCGAATGTGTAACAGAGACTATCACTACATTTCTATTCAATTTGTCAAAATTATCGACCCCCTCCCCCCTCCCCCCTCACCTTCCCTATACAGAAAATAATTATGCGCCTAGCCACCAAGCCCAACATGTCAAGTCATCATTGTAGTTAATTGATTCAACATCACACTTTGTACACTTTGGTTACATACGACCTGCCCAAAAGTGATTCCAGAGCTCAAACTTCCAGTTACACGGTAAGAAAAAAGATTCCAAAGTAACTCAATTTTACAAATCTCGGCACTATATTGCAGGAAGCCAAAAGTAGGTAATGTGGATCGAAGAGTTTTCATTTGATTGTGTTCAATTAGTATGAAATTGACAATTCGCTTCTACCCAAAAATAGTTAGTTGTAGGTGTAATATGATTATACTCAACGTGATTATACTCAAAGTCAAAAGTAGGCAAAAATGAACTGGCCACTGGATATTTTTTCTTATCGTGTATTTTTTTGTTTTCGAATCATCCTTTTGCCGCCTTTTGCATATCAGCTGATGGCTTCGAGCAGTGCAACCGAAACGACACATATGTTTTCTATACAAGATTTCTAGGTTCATTTATTTTCATTTTTTGTCTTGAGAAGCAAAATAAGAAATTGTTTTAAACATTTATTAGTGATGGTTACTACATTGAACAGAGTTTAAGCACCTTAAAAAGCAATAAAAGCATTGTTTTTACACACTTTGTTTCAATTAAATCGACAACACTGGATACGATGATACGATGATAGATGATTCGTACACATACCTTCGTAATGCGGTGTGTAGAAAAAAGGTAAACAAAACAGTTTCAGCTTGCAAAATTATTCGCGGCTCGCGTTTATAACGATGCAAATGGTATTATTTAAGTAAATATCGTCTTTAAAAGTGAATTCACTTGAAAGTGCTTGTAGAAGCACGTGTCGTAATTGTTTTTAGTGTGGTTCTGAGAAGTGAAAGCTAGTGAAAACAGTTATTGAAATTTCATGCCCTGAGCAGAACAAAATCGGCTGATCGTACTTTTTAATGCAAATATTACCAATGCGTGAATGAATTGGCAATATTTTGGTGGAAAAGTATTACAATATGTATCCAGATCTTATTCATACAATTCAGGCCCATTTTTTAAGGTATGTAATTAGTAATTTACTGTTTTGTAGGAAGATGTCTTTCGTACGCATACCAAAACACGTTTATTTAATGATTGTAGGGACAGCCATTGTTGCATGACGTGCCGTATCACCTTAAAGTCGCCTTAGTGTGCCATGCGCTTATTTGAACCATGTTTTGATTTTTATTTAATACACGTTTTGAAGAATTGAAACATATAACTTTATTTCGTCCTTGATGTACAGACATAAGGTGAAGTTATTTTTTAAATATATTCTTTTTACGATATATATCATTGTTAACATAGCTTGCTTGCCTTACTTTACACTTTACACGCAAAATAAATGACAAAAACATTATAGGGGAATTTACGTATTCTCGTCAATCTAAGCAGCGTCCGAACTTCTATTAGCGATTTCTTAGCGTCACACACATACATGACAGGTTTGTTTGTTGACGTTTATCTGCTGCTTGCTGTTCAACCAATTCCAATCGACAGAATTGATCAAAACGGGTTGAACATGTTTTTACAACGCTCCAAACTTCTCAGGTGAGTGTGACTATTGTCGTCAGTCTCTTTTTCTTCGGCACCCTTTCCATTTGAACTGCGTGTTAACCAGCTGTTCTATTATCGGCAACTCGAAATCAGCCGTATTTTGAAGTGTGTATATTTAATTTAAAGAAAAATATGGCATAACAGGATTGCACAGTCGTAAAAATGTAATCAGATTGAAGCTGAAAAGGTAAGGAATCGGCTTAATACATTCAGCGAAGAGTTTTGATGGGAAAATACAGTGAAATTAACGTTTCAATTTCGGTTGCCGAAAACAGTCAATGGGTGCCGAAGCCATAATTTACCCTATGTAAGTATGGTTTTCTTACATCCTTTAACGAGAAATGCATTGAATGTAGTGAACTAAAGCGGGCTGTGGCGTACGAAAAGCTTTTTTATCTTTTTTTTCTGTTCGGGACATAACATCACTGCGACCAGTACTTTGATCTATTGTAGTAAATCCCGTGTCCTTAGTTTAGTGCATGTCGTATTACGGTATTACTACATCACTATTGAGAGATGATGAAGTATTCGTTTTTGATACTGTGTTGTCATTCTTGCCTTCATCGCAAGGAATCAATTCTAATTGAAAGGTTCCGCTATTTATACCCTTCGGAGTGTTGAAGCACCCTCAAAAGGCGCGCCCCTTTTTTTAGTCAAAATTGGATTCCTTAGCAACAAAATTAAGCCATGACGTGAACGAGTAGATTAAGAATCACATCGATGAAGACTAACTAATCATTTTTTCCTTGTTTCAAGATCATGGACAAAGCCGAGTCTTGTCACTATCAACAAGGCATAAAAAAGTAACAAGGACTAAGATGTGATCCTTTGATTACTGAAAATATATATTGTACATATAGGGAAGATGCGCATAAAATGCCTTTGTTATGGAAAATTCTAATTTAACACATCAAGTGTATCAAAATTTAAGTACAATGCCATGCAAACGTTGAATTAGGGGTATTTCCAAGTAACAATTTCGTTTTTTTATCATAGTCTTGTACCCCATGTTTTGTTTTTAAAGATTGCTTTAAAGCTTTGATAAAATTTCCAATCATACTTAAATTGGCATTGCTTAGTGAAAATAGCTAAATTCGCAATTGAATTCGTAAAATTATAAAGATCTGCAAAATCCTGATTTCGAATACTGTGAGTAAAATACTCATACCCAATCCAAGGATGCATACATTTAGGCTTTTTCTACGTTCTTGCTGTATTTAATTTTTTAAGTTCACGCCTGATAGGGAACAATGCCCATAGCGGCCAAAATTCATTCCTCTCTATCTCTGCTGCTAGTCAACATTATGGTGATAAATTGCTGTGATACGTTAGAATTTAAACGTGCTACATGAATGGAAGCGAAAAACTTTTAGAAAAAGGGCATTTGCAATTGAAAAAACTTGTAAAACAATGTTGGCGCGAATAACGCAAAAATAGTAATTTCTAAACAGTTGGTATCTCAGAATATTGTCAAAATTGAAGATTTGATTGATGCAACTTGTAAGATACATCCTTCATCTTTCGGCTCAATAGGTCGTATGGCATGTTTATTCGAGAAAATTTCACAAATCACCTAAAATGTGTTCAAGTAACTATAATACAAAACCAAAAAAAATTGCCTGCCTGTTGAACTTTCTACCCGGAAAATAAGGGATGTATTTTACAATTTGCATAAATCATATCGTTTTTTATTTTACTGTTCAGAGATACGAGGCGTGTCAAGAAATGTGGTTTTGTGCAGCTCAAATTAAATTTATTAAATTTTATAAATTTTCAATTACTCATTTTCAGGTTCCCTGCTTTCATTCACATAGTACAATAATCCCTCCATTTTTGTGGTGGGTGGTACCGTCCACCCACCGTTGTTTCTCGGCTGTACTTCAACTAATTACGCTTTTTGTATATATTTATGTATTTATTTATGTATTTATTTAATTTCTGCTCGTGGCCCTAATGATGGTTAGTTAACACTACTGACTGTCATATACATAATAAAACGTATAGTAAAATCGAAAAACTACTCGTTACGATTTTTTCTCCAAAAAAATAGAGCAGTAAATTTTCGTCGCAGTAACTCACGTGACATGTGAAAGTCAAACACAGATGCAACTCGGTTGAATAATCTTTGAAGACCATGATAGCGCTATGCAAGCCATGGTTAATGCTAATAAGTGGCAATCGAAGCATCTGATTGTTTCTCAAGCAGCTAGGCTGCACATTGATGTCTTTTTGTTCCAATAAAGCTGGGCAATCAACTCGATTCTACACAACATCAGCGACAAACATGGATCTTAGAGTATCGCGACGAGTGTTGAGAGGTTCTAGGTGTATTAATGAACAATGTTCCTCATAGGGGGGCAGCCTTAAAGAATTACACCACGGTAATCGCCGAAGTGCGTAGCGAATGAATCTGCGTTGAACTGACTCGATTCACTTAACTCCATTATGATAAAAAGGGTTCCAAACAGCTGCACCATATTCTAATGTAGATCGTTCTAGGGAACAG